GGCGAATGCAGCGGAATAACACCAGAGATCAAAGAACTTGGCGAATGATACCATGTTAGATTATGAATCTGTAAATTGATTGAAGAAGAAGAAGAGTATTGCGAGAGAAAATACAATCGTAGAGAGAGAGAGTAAAGAAGAAAGATAAACTGTAATATTAGATAATGATCGATATTGTACAGTGTTTTGGTATTTATACCAAGAGTGTGTAAACCTAAATTGCTAAGGAAAAGAATACAACATATAAAGCGCATTTACAGATATAACAACTTATGTACAAGAGGACTAAAATGTAAAATACAGAGAAAGTAAACATGAAAGTATGTAATCTAACAACTAGTAATCAAATGAATGTAAGTACGATCCCTCACATTACCTTCCATTTTTATTTAGAAAAATTATTATTAAGTGGCAATAAATAATTAAATATACAGCCCCTTTTCCTTTTCTGGCTCGCTCTTTAGTCTTTAGTGGGTTATATAAATAAATAATTGAAAGTCGTCTTCACCACAAAGTCAAAGAATGGAGCTGAGATCTTCTTCTTCACTCTGTAGATCGAAACCTCCATTTTTCCACATTTTGTGCATAATCGTTTATTTACTCTTAATTACCACTAATGCAGATGGGTTTAATCCTCTAATTAAGCTCCCCACAAATGAGCTTTACAAAAATTATTCAAGCTGCTCAGCACCTGTGGTTTTCAATATCAATGATTTTGGCGCCCAAGGGGATGGATTTACCGACGACACGAAGGTAACTAATAAATTGTTTAAATAGAACCCAAAAAAAATAAAAATAAAATACAATGGCCGTTTTTTATTTTCTTTTCCCTTTTTCTTTTGGGCAGCACTTGTGAAATGTTTAACGAAAATACTTTAGCAATCAATTTTATTAACTGGATATGATTCACAAAATAAATTTTGGAGAATTTCATTTAGGGAGCTCTATTTTCATGGAAAATAGCATGGTTTTGTTGGGGAAATGCTACGGTCCCGTTACAGAACTATTTCGTCCCGGTTTGTAATTATTAGATCAACTATCCCGACGGTTACAAATCCCGACAGAATGATCCCTTAAGGAGACCGTAGTATTTCCCGTTTTGTTATCTCTCTTTTAATACTTTCGCACTTGCAAGCAGTGATCTCGTCGATCGATTTCCATTGGATGCTTTTGTCTATTATGTTTATCTAGAATGAATTCTGGAGCCATTGAATAAAAACAGATAGTTAAGCTTCTTCACAAAATTGGTACGCTGCATCAATCATACATAAGGTTGCAATTTAGAGAAGATAGTAATAATCGAAATGTCGCTAAATTCTTTGATTGTTCGACGGCATCAGAGTTTGCAACATGTTTGGAAGCTGGCCTGTTCTTTACCGTCTAGGGCCAAAATTTTAATTCCTGCAGGGAATACGTATCTAATCCGGCCAACTGATTTTTCCGGGCCCTGTCAGTCGAAGGTGACCTTAAGAGTAAGAGCATGCATATAAGTTCTTAACCAAAAAAAAAAATAATAATAATATCTTCTTGTTTTTTTCCTTATCCAATGTACTTCTACTATCTGTATAGGTTTCTGGTATGATTGTAGCGCCACATGATCCCACAATATGGGAAGGTTTAGACGCGCATAAGTGGCTCTATTTCCATGAAGTAAAGAACCTAAGAGTAGAAGGAGGTGGAATAATCGATGGGGCGGGACGAGAATGGTGGGCCCGCTCATGCAAGAAAAACGCCTCAAATGTACTTTTTTTCACTTCTTGCATTCCGTGTTATCTTCTTTATAATCTCGATAGACGAGTGAATTTTTCTTTCATATTCAGGCTAAGACTGCAGGGCTTTTTTTTTTTTTTTTTTTTTTTTTTT